GTTGGGGATGCTCCCTGAGATGAGACACAGAAGCTGCCAGGGGCTATTCTTGTCAGCAAGGAGGTTGAGAAGAGCCACCATTTCCAGCGCATTGGTCGTCAGGACAGCAGCAAAGCAGTCTGTGTGGTGAGACAGGTAAGTAATCAAAGACATGAGCCTTGAACCACGTCAATTTGGATTGGTGTAACCCATCATCTGGTTCAGCCTGTGCTGATCCCAGTGGCAAGTAGATGCATCAATGGAGATGTTGCACAGGACAATGTCAACTAGCTTTGGATTTGCACAAGTGACCTGAAGCTGTTCAATGCACTTGTGGAGGTGCTTCTGGTCAGATCTGGTCTTGTTGTGTGTTTGTGCTGGTTTGAAAGGTTCTTCTGCTGAGTTGGTGGATTTCCTCTTCCCTTTAGCCTTTGCTTTACGTTTCTCCTTTTCCTCAGCTTTCTCCTTCTCCTCTTTCTCCTTTTGAATCCTCTCTTGCAACTCTGGGATAACGTCTTCAATGTTGATCAGAAGAAGTTGCTCCTGGTCACAGGTGATGTGATGATCCTAATGTGAGGAAAGCAAGCAATTAGAGTAGCATATATTGACTGCAATTCATTGTGTATGTGTATGTGATGAAAATAATGGAGCATATATTGACTGCAATTCATTGTGTATGTGTATGTGATGAAAGAACTCTGGAAAAGGAGAACATACCCACTCTCCAGTAGCCACCTTGTTCTTGAGGTGGATGAAGTCCCTATCTGTGAGGTGTGTGGCCACCTTTCTTGCCTTGCCCAGGAACTGGACATGTCTCTGGCAGGCAATGAGGAGCTCAGTGAAGGCTGGAAGAGAGTACAGTCAGCACAATGGGATAGTTATAAGAAATACTGGTGTGGAGCATACCCTTCTTGCTGATCTTGTACTTGTGGCCTGGATCTGCTTGTGCTGTTTGGTTGAGATGTGCTTGAGGACATGAAGCAGTATTGGATTGGATATTGATTGATTGTGAAGATAGAGGGGAGTGATTGGCATGGGTTCTTTGGATTTGGCATACAAATTCTTGAGGTAGGTGGCACTCTTGGGCCAACTGTTGATGTTGAGGAACTTCTTCATGATGCTGGTATAGTTGCGCAGATTTTCTTGTAGCTTCCTCTGTTCTGCCTCATTGAGCTTCTGAGCCTCTGGCTGTATGAAATAGTGGAGTTAGTAAGTGTTTGGAAATATGTAATTTTTTGTTGTGTACATGTATGTGATGAAATGTACCATTGAGCTGATGAGCTTCTTCCAGTTGATGGCTTGCTTGCCTTGAGTAGTGGTCCAGAACTTGTTGGTGCACAGGGTGTTGTGGTGCTGGAAGAAGTCCTCCCACTCATCCTTGTGAACTGCCACCTCGTTGTGCATGTGGTTCTGGCCCCATGTGAGGATGTGAATGTTGTCTTCTGAGACTGTGTTCTGGATATGGAGAAAGGGTATTAGTTGGAGCAGGGACATCAACAAAGTATGTCAGAACAAGAAAAACATACATCAACAATGTCACAACACCACTTGAAAGACTTCCCAGGGAAAAGCTGCTGTGCAGTCTGAATGTGATGATTGCTGTCAATGATGCTGTACTCAGGCATCCCATCTTTGAGGATGTGCTGAGAGGGAGGCAGCTCTTGAACAAGCAGACGCTCCATTGTCAGACCGCCCATCTCATTCATTGATGTAGAGAGAACTCTGTGTCCTCTAGTGGTCACCAACTGATGAGTGCCACTCTTTGTCATTTGGTCAATGTTGATCATTGCAGTGTTCATCTTCACATGATCTGCACAGAGGACACCATAATGCTTGAGCAGGGCCTCCTCAGGAGGCATGGAGAGCTCCTCTTCTGTGGGCTAGGAGGAGATGAATTAGCAAACATTCTATTGTGTATGTGTACATGATAGAATGTCCTGCAGTTGTGGTGCATAATTGGCTTCACAAACAGCATGAAAAGCATACCTCCTTCAGGAGCTTCAACAGCTCCGCATCAGTCACCATGGCGGTTGGCAGGGTTACTTGCTCCTCTCTGGCAGGTCTTGTTTGGGCTGTCACATCAACCTGAAGAAAGTACAGGATTGGTGAGATTTATAAAGGACTACATTTCATTCAAAATCAAACACACTTACCTCTGGTGCTCTGAGCAAATCTTGTGACATCTCTGTGATGGAGTTGGCTCTGGTGGTGCTATTTTTTTCAGCTTCTTGCTCTTGAGTCTCAGGTATGGTCTGCTGAGAGTCAAGAATGATCTTCATTGATGAGAATATATCAGTTGTTCTATTGTGTACACATATGTGATATATTACTTATATAAAATGGTGGTTAACCATTGCACCATGTTCAGCCTTAAAAGGACTACACTCAACCAATGAGCTTTTTTGCAGACATTTCTTAAAAAGTGTTAGGATCAAGGCCACCAATGAGACAGCCCACTCTGAAATTTCACTGTCTTCATTTCAACCCTTTTTTCAAAAACGGATATGACATCCCTGACACTCACTCTGGGAGTGATTCTGAGGATCATAGTGATCTCACCACAACACCAGTACTTGAGATTCCTGTATCCCTCATTCTGGATGTGTGCAGCAATGATACTGGTCAGCTGGCTACATCCAGCCAGCAGATCATGGATTCAGTGGACCACTCTACACCACAGCCAGCAGCGAAAGTGCTTTCAACAGTTGAGGCATTGGACTGTAATCAGATCATCACAAGTCCATGCTGTTCTGCACTCTGTCTGCACAAGTTCAATGTATCACAGATACAAGCATGCCACACCCAATATCTCAGCATGACTCAGGCAGCTTCACACCAATGGCTGAGGACATTGATGGAGAACCAACCACTCCACCATTGACTCTACCATTTACATCATCAGGTATTGTCCACACTACAGCTCATTGGAGATGGCTTCCTCACTACACCAGTAGCATGTTTGCAGGCAGGCATTCATGCTTGCTTACAGAATCTCAGAGAACAAAATGGCCAACTTCTCCACCATGGATACTCTTCAAACTTCCATTTATACAACCATAAATCATCAGTTTTTTATCACATACACATACACAATACTCATCACCTGTTTTGCTCACCTTCTACCTTACTCCAGTACAGCTGTCATGCTCCCAACTTGACCTCCATCTACATGCCAATGATCATGACCAAGGATCACCTCTACCAGAAATACTCAGATGCCTTGAACGCCCAGTACTTCACCCATGCAAAGCTGTTGAGTCTCACTCACTTCCATAAGATGTTCAAAGGTGAACACAGGCACATCAAGTTCCCTTGGTTCTGTGTCCTCAGGCAGTGCAATATCTGTGCCTCAACAAATGACACCCTCACCAACTGGACAATGAGCACAAGAGAGCAGGCGCAGCTGAAGCAGTGGAAGCTGGATCACCTCAAGCTTGTTGAGGTGGAGCAGAAAGCTTATCACCTCCACCAGCAGGAGGCTGTTGCTGATCCCAGTGCGACCTTGTCAATTATCATGGACAGTTTGACTGACATCATTCTACCTCTCCTAGTGCCTCTGCCCTCAGCCTGGAAGGACCTTCACCTCTACAAGCTTGGCATTCATGG